GGATTAGGATTTACTCCAAATATCATATTGGATAATTAAAATAGGTTTTCAATAGAATGTAAGTTGACTTGAATTACTGGCTTATTGTATGATTTGTCTCTAACGTCTTCTCAAATCACTTTCAAATAGATATACTACAATACAAAAAATTGTACATTTTAGATCAGAAATTTTATCCCATCGACCCTGCTGCCAAAATAAAAGATGACCGTGTATTTTATATTTATAGTAATGAGTAGTATTCCAGATCGTCCTATGACAGGTTCCTGCAAGGGCTAGGTCCGAGTTCTTGCTTATTTTGATGAATGAGTCGTAACGCAAGAAAGATTTCTCTCCAGTTTATATATACTTTATTCTGCTTGATGTTTTGTCTTTTTACCTACTAAGAGTTCTTAATGCTATATACCTGTTATTATATTACAATATTCCTCAATGCCTTGTAAATGATAGGGTAGATTTCTAAAGACAGTGTGAGCCAATAGCTTGACATGTAAGTTATCTGGTAACTATTTTATTCCTAATCACAATATGGAAAAGCTACGCACTCTTTAGCATTACAGCCCAGCCACAGCCTTACCTTGATTGCTGATGTTTTGCTTAGTTGATGATTTATGTCTACACTAGAATCTTTTGCTAATGAGTAAATGCATTTTTGTTGCTTTGCGATTCTCTGATTTTATGAATTGACTAGAGCCAGTGGCAGTCGCTCTAAGTAAAGGGTTAAGTACTAAATTCTTTGTAGGTACTTGTTTTACCCCCTGAAGGAGCATTTTGATAATCATGCATGCTTTTTGACTCATGGCAATTGGGATTGTCTAGAAAATGATAACGTGCCACTTCGATATTTGATTCGTCTCTCAATGATTGTGTTGATTATACCTGGGTAAGGTCAAACTTTTAAGAGTTTTATCTTAAAAAATATAATGAAGCCTATTCACAAAGTAAGACCTCAACTACTTTTTCCAAGCGAGGTTTCAATCATGTTATTCTAGATTAACCGTCGATTTGAATACTGTCAGAACCTATGCAGTTTAAACATAATATTGGTGATATTGACAACTCATATTTCCTTCATTACTTCTCTTCCTGGCTTGCTTCCTTCGTTGCTGACTCCACACTTCCCATACCCGGTCCCTCGATCCTCCATATACATCAAGGCTTAGCTGGCTGCGGTGCAATGCTTGTACATGATCGCGAGAACCAATCGAGTTTCCTTTATGACTTTGGTTGTCCGGCGCCTAATAGCTCATCGACGATGGATGACCCAAACTTAGTATCGAGTCTGGTCGGCGTTCCAGGTCTTGTAGCTGGCCTCAAAGTCGTTCATACTCAGTTTGGTGCTCTTGCTTGGGCCGACCTCTTTCATGCTGCTAAGCGAGCTGTTCTGGATGGCTTTCAGGTCTGTTGAGTGCACGGCATACATTTTTTCTCCAAATAAATCGATAAAAATGAGTGCTATATTTGCATTCTTTTTTTTTTACTGATTTTGCATAGATAAATCTGACTAAATCTGTAATAATATCGACTGGAAATAAGTGCTGTTTGTTTAGCATGAAAATTTATGTGAAAAGTTTTAAATGGGAGCTTAAAGGTAGGGAACACTTTTCGTCTGTAATCTTTCTATCAGCATATGGGAATTATCAGGGTTCAGTTTTTTCATAAAAATACCAAATTACAAATTTTCTGCAAACGATTTGGCTCCCACATAAATTAAGATTATTTTTCGTTTATATTTAGCTTGTCGAGACTGGGATGTATTTAACATATTTCGTTAAGGTGATTAAGGATTAGTAGTTGAATTTTCCCACAATGGTATGAGTAAATTTCAAATTGCCTTGCTTCTTACAGCGTATTCTCATCCAGACTGGACTGCAATTCGACCTCG